GGATTGGATGTGAAGTGTCAGAGAAAGAAAGGAATCAAGGATGATTCTGAAGCAATTATAAAAATGCAATTGCAATTAACTAAGCTCTATAAGAAGACTGTGGGAAGAGGAGGAAGTCTATAGGAGGAAAGTTCAGTTTTTAATGTATTAAGTTTGAGGTGACTATTAGATATCCAAGTAAAGATGTCAAGTTGTCATTTGGATATTTGAGTCTAGAATTCACAAGAAAAATCCAGGCTAGAAATAAATTTGGAAATTGTTTGTGTGTAGATGATATCAGTGTTCAGAGACTAGGAGAGATCTCTTAGAGTACAGACAGAGGCCGAAGGCCTGGGCCTGGGTCACTACAACATGTAGAGGTTAAGAAGGTGAAGAGGGCTCAGCAAGAAAGGCCAGTAAGTAGAAGGAGAGGAAACGAAGAGACTATAATGGCCTGGAAGCCAAGTGCAAAAAGGGTTCAACAAGGAGAGAGTAGGTGTGATTTGTTTTATAATAATGGTGTGAGTGTGTGTGTGTGTGTGTGTGTGTGTGTGTGTGTGTGCGCGCGTGTGTGTGTGTAGAGTGGGGGATGAGTTAGTGTATAAATAAACAAAAACTGCCACAGACTGATCATTGTTGAAGCTTGGTAGATGGGAGTTCACGTTACTACTCTCCTTCTTTTGTGTATGTTTGAAATTTCCCATTAAAAAGAATAAAAAAACACAAAACAAACAAACAAAACATTGGGAGAACTGTGTCAAATGCTGATGGTGCTGACAGGTCAATTAGGAGAGTGGATTTGACCCTGGAGAGGGCATTGGTGGCAGTGACAAGAGAAGTCTCAGCAGAGGCTAGAGCCTGTTGGCAGTGGGTTTGAGAGAGACTAGAAGGAAAGGATGTGGAGTAAGCAAATATAATCACCTCCGTCTAGGAATTTAGTAGGAAAGGAGAACAGAGAAATGGGTCAGTAGCTGAAAGGAGATCAAGGGTCCAAGGGTGGTTGGATGATTTGTTAGTTTAAGATGGAGTGATTATAGCCACGTTTCTTACCACTGTCCTTCACACAAGCTATAGACAAACCCTCCAAATACCCTTCCCCACATTCTCTGTTTGTGCCTCCTCTACCCCACCCATCCCACCCATCCACCAAGGCCTAGGTCACCTCCCACCTCGTGCACCATCCCAATTGTATGTGATTTCTCCAGTTGTATCATTTCTGCCTACATGTAGAATTTTCAATAAATTTTTATAGCAGAGTTTTGGTTGTGGTGTGGTTCAGCTGGGGTCTCTGTAGCCCTCATCTTCAATGTGTATCAGAGCACACTGTGTGTTTATACTGTAGATCAAAACTCCATAATGTTCCCCTGACAGCTTTCAGAAGGGAAGCAGAACTTCTATAAAAACTACGAAGTTTCTTATTCCTTTAGATCCTGGAAGATCGCATTCTATAGTAGCAACTAGAATAATATCTTTCACTTGCCTTTCCCACTCTAAAGGCATGGCCAGAAGCACCAATTCACACTAAGGGATCACGAACTGGTATTTATTTTTAAAAGTAACTGAAAAGCCTCAGCAGTTCTCTAAGGACTTCTCTTTGAAAACATCAGAAATTGGGTGGGAGTGGGTGGGTAGGGAGAAGGAGCCTTCTAGCTTCAGATGTGGCAAGCTCAGTGAAATTGCACTAAAAAATAAGCATGATTAAAAACACTACTTCCCTCACACCTCCCTCAGAGTGTATCATGGCAAGGAGACCGGGTCACGCACTCAAGATTCTTCCTGCTGAGAAGTTTCCCTCTGAAGCACTCACTTTCAGTGCAAAAGGCAAGAACAGACAAGATGCTTCTGATCAGGATTAAATACAAGATGCATCAGAGATGGCCTCTGAAGAAACTCTTAAGAAGTAAGAGATGTTATCAGTGATTCTATTATGCTGAGGCTAGAGTGAAAAAAACAGTATGTTCACCATCTGGCTGAACTGAGGGAGAAAATAGCAAATACATCTTGACTGAGTCTCAACAGCATATACGAAAGGGCATTTGAACCTCCTGCTCTAATTACTACCGAGTGCCCGCTATTGCCAAGCCCTGTGCTATGGGTCACCAAGATGACAGTCCCTCTGCTTGTGGAACTCCTTGGCTGGAGCGGAGACCATTATAATCCAATGGGAGATCCGAGATGCTACCGATAGCAGGAAGACCTCCTGGATTCTGAGATGAAGGAAGGTTGGCGGCTTCTGGCAGAAGCAGTAGCAGCACTATGAGCAAAGGTTCCTGGGAACACAGCATGGAGTTCTGGGAATAGCATGGAGTCACACGGCTGTATCACAGGGCAGGCAAGAGACTCACACCTGGACATACAGATCATGGAGGGCCTTGGATGTCATGGGCCAGGGAGCTCTTACTGGGCTGGAATGACAGGAGCAGGCTTGCAGTTTTGAAGGATCATTCTGGTGGCAGCGAACTATATGAAAACAGGCTGTGTGCTTGTGAAAACTGGTGACTCTGTTGGTCTGATCTGTTGTCAAAGCCAAATTCTGTTTTTCTGTGTTTATTTGGCTATGCTTATTTTTGTACCTCAAACAGCTGAGGGATTCATTCTGTTTGGTTGTTTCTTTTCTGTTTGTTTGTTTGGTTTTTTAAAGATTTTATTGGGGGATCTGGGGTAGGGAACAGCATTGGGGAATGGGGAAGGGGAACAGACAAGTTGCTGTTGTTTTTTTCTTCAGTCTAGTTGTGGAGGACGTCACTTCACTGGCCCATGTTGGTGTTATCATTGAGCTATTCCTAGGTGAGGTGAGGCAGTCGCTCATGGGCCATTGGATGGCTCCTTAGGTTGGCTCACCACAGCTCACGCCGCCCATTGGATGGCAGCTCACGCTGGCTGCCGGCTACTCATGGTAGCTTACGGCAGCCCACTGCAGCCTACTCTCGTGGGTGACTCACGGCAGCCCAGCTCCAGGTCAAGCTGTTGTTCACCATCTTAGCTGTAGAGGGAAGTGTCACTGACCCATGTGGGATCCAAACCGGCGGCCCTACTCCTCAGAGCTCACACTCCCAAGCCAACTCTTAACCAACGAGTCACTCAGCCGGCCCGTTTGGTTGTTTTTAAACATTCAGATCATTTTGTTTTCTCACCTTATACCACAAGAGCACAATATAATCAAGCATTGTGAGGTAATTTTACTATGGTCAGCTCTGGTTGCGGAAATGACCTGTAGCTGTGGCACCAGGGGCTGCTTCTTCCCTGAAGGGCTTCTTCCCTGCTCCCCACTTACGAGCTCTGTCTGGAATTTCACCTATGCAATGATTCCCAACGCTGGTCCATGAAAAACTGATGAAATGGAGTGTAGCAAGTCTTTCATAAAACAAAATTTATTCTATCCAAAGGCGTGTCCTTTTTTCTAAATGATGTCCTGCTTCTTTTTGGGGCATTAAGATTCCCTTTATTTTATTAAATGATGGTAACAGAATTTTGTATAAATGCCCTTCCATGGCAGAACAGTTGGAAACCCCAGGTCCGTGCACTGACAATGTGAAGTCCTCCGAGAAGCCCAGGGCCCCTGCTTTGAGTACCCTCCGCCACCACCTTGCTCCACCTTGCTCACCATGCAGTCGTCACCTGAGTCCGGTCAGGGTAGGGGGCATATCTGGATTAACAAGGCTGACACTAATTTGCCAAAGCCTCAGGGTAGACAGCTAACTACGCAACACTCAGGAAAATGTTGGTCCGGTGTGCAATTTTGTCACTTGTTTCATCTTAATGACATCGCTAGAATTTAGCGTCTTAATGAAAATATAAAACTTCTTTCCATGGCCACTGCATCACTCACATTTAAATATTGTTAAATAAGTGGTTAAACATTGTCCTAAAAATGTATTTATTTCCATGCTCCCAACTTGATCTTATTTTAGAGAGGTGTTTGAAGCCTATTACCTGTTACCACCAAAGAAACAACTTAAATAGTCTGGGAGACTGGCATGGAAGCAGTCCTCCACACAGGGCCTGTAACAAGAGCATTTACTGGACAATTAATTAGTCGAAAGATCTATGTCTGGGGTCTCGCTCACAACTCACTAGCTATGTTACCTTGGGTTACTTAACCCTCTGAGTCTCAGGTTCCTCAACTACAAAATGAGGTTAATAACTGTACCTACCTGCATGGAGTAGCTATGTTTAGGACAATCTTGGTGCTTGGTGAATAATCAATAATCAATAATACTATAATTGTGAATATAGGATATTTTTAAAAGCACTGGCTTTTACACAAGAATCATGTTAGGCCTGAAAAGGTTCTTTTTGATCATATGGCTCAATCTTGGCATTTTATAGATGGGGGAGGGGAGAAATGAGTTCTAGAGAGAACAGGACCAATGAGAGGCAGGACCTACGTAGACTCGGTGTCTGGGTCTAGCCCAGGACTCTCTTCACTAAATTGTTTTTCTCCACATAGAAGTATTTGGTTCTTGACTTCCCAGGGTTTTTTTTTTTTTTTAATCAGAAAGAACTATACATGTAGTTCAAAATGGTGGTATCACTTAAACATTTAAAGATGCATAGTGAACTACAAAAATGCAGAGAGAACAAAAAAATTAGGTCATTGTTGCATCATTTCAGAATATTTACTGCTGAGTAATCTAAAAGAATTAAATGCGTTAAGAATAATGTAACAATATCTACCCATACAATGGGGTGCTAAGATGAGGCAGATGAACAGAAAAATTATAAATATCATATTAAGATGTGCTTTCCCCCAACCCCCACACTCCAAAAACAAAAGGTGCAAACTATAGCCCCCACATCAATCAAATTTTTTGGTTGCTCAGGAAGAAAAACAGAGGATTTTCCCCGAGTCTTTATGATAATCTCTAGAATGTAATATAACCAGATAGATTATGTTGGGTATGGTTGATAGCAGGAGGCTCTGATGCCAGCAATAGAAGGGACATAAAAGCATCAGTTAGATATAGGGACACAGAGACATCATCACAAATAAAACCAAGTAGATACACTTTATGTTATTTTAAATCAGTAGTTTTATTATAATACACACTGACACAATTAGAGAAGGAATGTCCTGACATTTTCTGAGCATTTCACGGAAAGCAAATATAACCATCCAGCCAGTCGAGTCATCCACATCTTTTTCAAACACAATGCAAAAGCTTTTATATGTGATAACTCAGAAAAGTTTTCTTCTTCTTGCCTACAAAACATCAGTGTCAAAAACCAGTTTTTGTGAAGTGGGCTGAGAAGGGAAGCGCTTCCTTCCTGATATTCCAAATCCTGCCTCTAGATTTTTCTCCTCAACTTTCTAGATGACTTTTTATGATACTGCAGATGGTAGTGTGTTCAGGGGCTAAATGGGGTCTACTTATAAGGCCAACTATTATACTTCACTATAATTGAAAAGAAAGGAGAAATTAACTGCTGGAAAATGCACACAGGTATGGAGAAAATTTCTGGGTGCATTAAAAATGAGATGATCTTTTCACATAACTCATTTAAAAGGTTACAATTACCATAAACATTTTAACTCCATTAAAGATCACTGGCAAAAGCTTTTTCTTATACCCACAAAAGAGCCCTGCATTTACACAGGCTCAGAAGAAAGCAACGTACTGTACGAAAAGAGAAACTAATCCTGGTGAAGTAGACATCAGAGTTGCATAGGCTTTTATAGATCCACTACAAAGTACAAGACGCTATGGAACTTGAACAAATTTCCATCTTTCTGCAGTCATTGTGGTGGTCAGGTGTTTTATTCCCTTTAGCACCCAAATGCACAAAAACACTCTGGGAAAGAAACACTAAAATGGCATTTTGGATAAATTCACTATACATTACAGAACTTGGGGACAACAAAGGAGAAAGCCCAAACATGACTCTAGTATTTCGTATAGAAAAAGCACTGCAAGAGAAAAGTTTGTTTAAAAACATTGAAACTCAGGTGAATATAAGTACATTTTTGGTTAACCTGTGCTATACCATATAGAAATCCTGCCAGATATTCAGTCTACTAGGTAAGTCGTTTGGATTTTCATGTCTGACTACGCTAGTAAAAGAATATATACTGTTGCATATACTCACATATATATGCATAGACATATATAAAATTCAGATCATGAAAATTTGTTTTAAATACACATACTTAAAACCTCTAAAAATAAATACATTAGCCTCTTAATCGGCTAATTCTCAGATTCCTTCACAAACCAATCAGAACACAATTTCTCAACAATGGCAGATGACCAATTAGCTGCTCTTTAAATCCATTATCTATCAGTAAACGTTTTAAAATTCAGACATACAACAGAAATAGCATTCCCAGAATAAACTATAGATAGAATTCTGGCTTTGAAAATAAATGTCTCAGATTCCGTGATGTTTAGTTTCTACAGATGTCTACTCTTTGCCTCTGAATTGATGGAGCAGTGGGAGAGCATTTTCCAGTGGCACCATTGCCATTACCTTCTAATCAAAGGGGTCAGCTGGCATTTCTTTTGCCGCTTTGTTCGAGGAAACTAACACAACATTGCTTGGGTTTGATATCACTCCCATAATCACAGTGAGTTGTGTGTTTTAATGTAATTTACAACGCACGGATACCACTGAGGTAAAGCAGTAGTCCTGGCATTAAAAAAAAAAAAAAAAGTCCCCCAGGAAACAGTATGTAAGGGACCTGGTGGTGCACATCCAAGTCCTGTGAAGTAACCCAAAACCACTGCCACAACGGGCACACTGGAGATCTGATACTGTGGTTCAAACAACAGAAGCAGATGAAAATACTCAACATACTTCCTTTACAAAGGATGCAATTCACAAAAATGGAGCTTTACTCTTTTACTTTTACATTTCCAAAGAAACCTCCCTAAAATGATAAAGCCAGGCCAAGTTGTTTAATACAGTACAATACTTAACAACATTGTCATTTGTTTTTGAATATAAGAATCTCAGATATGTGGGAAATCCACGATGAACGACAAGAAGAATGTTTAATGCCATTGCCTAAATGTTTTAAAAGGAAATTTTAACATAGCTGAAATACAATTTCTAAAAAATACAGTGTTCTAGGTGCTCACAGTTCCAGATTGCTAAGTTTATAAATTAAAAGTAGAAGGTATCCATATATAAACAAGGCCTCTTTTTCATTGATTTCAATCTTGTTTAAACCTTTGGATATTTCAGTCTTCAGATTCCACAAGGTAAGGCTGAGTTTATCAGATATAAATAAAATGTTTAAGTCCATGATGTACTGTAGCACAGAGGAAACAAATGCTTCAAATATTTACAGGCTGGCTACAATACTTTAAAAAAAAATTGAAATGTGTATCAACATCAAGCCACATTCTCTTTTGAATTTCTCTGGCTGCAAATGGGGAAACAGCATTTTTTTCTCACTCATCTTTCCTCTCAATCCTAAAGTCAGGCAGGTCTTAGGTCAAAGGGAGTGGTCTTTTGGGAGGTGGTGGAGGCATGAGCTCCGTGTCAGGGTCCAGATGACGCTTTCGTTTCTGTCCTTGAGAGGCTGCCGCACATCTGTCGATGAACTCAAATAGCATCTCCTTGGTGACAGGGTTTGAGATGCTGTTGCACACAGCTGTGGACAAAGGGAGACACGTGTCTCACGTGAGGGTTAATTAAGGCAGCTGACTCACCACAGGGAGATGAGAAAGGGGAAAGGTTTTCATCCCAATATGCTAAACACTTCCATTTCGCAGACTTGGATGACAAGCTTCAGATTCAACCATTCTCCTCCCTCTCCGCCCCCCACGAGTGTTTTTCCAGTGGCTACTCTTTACTGTACTATCAATTTTAAACCAAAACTAAGTACTTGGGTTATAAGCATGTATTCACTATGGTTTTTATCCCTCTCAGTTTTTATAGGTTTCTAATCTAACATAGTGCATCATCGCACTACAGTCCATATTCCAGCAAAATTTCTACAAAAAATATGTGCTAGTCCTTCAGTCTTTCTCTCAGAAAGCAGTCCACACTGAGAAGCATATAACAGTACCAGCCACTATTCCCATCGAATAGGGAGATTTCACTGTAGGGGGCACCTAATATTATTTTCTTTTAATAACTTGTTTGAAGTAAGGTATAATAACAAAATTACTAACAAATAAAGCTTATTTTTTTATGTGATCAAAATTTAGTGCCAGTCCTTTTAATTTTATGTATCTATTTGGTTTTGGGGGAAGAAGACACTGGCTTAATTATTTCTATTTTCGAAATTAACTCATCTTGCCTGAACGTAGGTGGTAGTGCCAACAAGAACCTTTAAATGTACAACAGTAACTTTTAAGCGGAAAAACTCAAACTGGCAATTTCTATATTTTCTCATAAGCTTATCAGATAATCATCGTTATTACCAACTGCGCACTCTAAAGGTACACTATTCTATTAACCTTTAATTTTCGTTTTTATCTGTTTTCCTCAACTCCACTAAAAACGTAACCCAGAGCAACAACTTCTACTAGGAGTAGTTTACCTTATAAACATGATTAATTTGTGTTGTTCCCCATGAAAGAAACTTACTATTCTGAATTCCCAAAGCACTCATATTGTACCCAAAGAACACCCTAAAGGATAGCATAGCAGGTTTGGGGGTTTGTTTTAAATGGCTTTCATTTACTTTGCTCTCCATTGTTTGTAAAGCTATTTTAGGAGCTGGAAATTACATTTTCCCCTGCTAATTTTATCTTTTACCATCTGGCAAACAATGGTTGTTATAGTTTTTAATAGATCTGAAATTATCATGGCTTTTGTTGTTGTTCAACAAATTCAACTTGCAGACAGCCCATTATTCTGCCCTTTAAACTTCTCTCTCGGGCACATGGGCACAAGCCCACAGGTCTATCTACAGAGGAGATCCTACAAATTGATTGGAGCCAACAGGGGTACAAACCTGACAGAACCCCTATCCCAGCAAGCAAGGATGGGGGGTCACATGACTGCATGCCCCATCAAGCTGAACAGCAAAGACAGCACATTTTTATTCTAACACCTTATCTTCCTCATTTTTTTGAATGTAACAAGCATCGGTAGGTTGTCATACTCACCCATGGCGGTGTTGTAGGCATTAGGAAAACTTTTGTCTGTTCTCTGTCTCATGAAGACCCAGCTGTTGTTCTCAAATTTGCATTCTATAATTTTGTTGTCATACTGTTTTAGCTCTTTTGTCACCTGTTTTAAAAGAGAATTGAGGAAAATATTTAAATCATTTGAAAGGCTTTTTGCTTCCACTATGTGACAGACGCATTAGGAAATGACAAAAACACCTCAGGAACTCTTCATGCAGATCTCTTTGTCATCTGAGGTGTCTAATCAAGCCTAAGGGGGTACGCAGTACCTTGTACACACACTCATTAATCCAACATTTTATAAATAGTCATGAAAACGGCTGTCAATATGTAGCAATTAAAAAAAAGCTAAGCAGAAATCAGCCCCGTCTGGGCCAAAGGCAAATATGTTACCATAGGGACCAATGCCTTCAATGCTGTCTGTGCCCCTGTGACTTTTAGAAACCGAGGCTGCTGCTTATGTTTCATCAACTTTCCGAAAGGACTCACCATCTAAATTCCTATGTCAAAACCTAAGAAAAGCCCTTTACTAGTTAACAGAAAAGTTACATATAAAAGTAACATCAGAATCGAATTCAGGCAGTATCTTAAGATATCCTAAAGATCTTGCTTTCCGAGCAGTGATAATGAATCAAAGAGCTAATCTTTAGTCTGGTTATCCTTTCCACCTCCAAACTAGTATGAATTTAGAGATGACGCTACTTTTGATTTTAGTTGGTAGGTTTTTTTAGGCTACTTCACCTCAGATGATTAAATATGGATTACAACTTACTCTATCAAAGCTAGCAAGTATCCATGGTAACTATAAAACCTTTTAAAAGATATTTCATCAGGCTGTGAGAATGGTTTTCATAAATAGGAACCTAAGCTTATCTTTGAAGTTTTCAAATCAAATGCCAGTCATGGTAATATTTTAATTCTGTCCTCATCTTTCACAGCTAACAACTTCTCCTCACAATATGGTAGATTGCAATCATTTAACTTCATTAGCATTATTTGAAATGCTCTCATTTTTCTACCCACATATTCACTACCACCTAGGAATATGAAGGGAAGCAAATTTTAAAAGATGCTTTCAATTCACAGATTAGGCAGTGTATGTCTTCACAAAAACTTTCAAATTGTATTATTTCTTTTCCCTTAATGAGTACTACACTTGATTGGACTATTTGCATTTTCAACAAATACAACAGGTCCAATACATTTGGTGGCTCTGGAACTAGACCTGCCAAAAAAAGTGACGTTCCACTTAGCAAACTTGCTGAGTTTATTCTCAGATATTCATTATCCCACTCTCAGCTCCCCTTCCTTCCTTTCTAGGGATCCACCTCCTTTTATTTTGATACATTATCTATATCCACATATTAGGCAACTCACATTTATATTAAACCATACGTAGGGTGTAACAGAGATACGCTCTAAACCCTTCAATCTCTGTTTTCTAATTTCTAAAATGGGCAAAGAAATTCCCAATTTATTGAGACACTGGAATAACAATACATGAAAGTGCCTGGCACATAACAGCCAACCAGTAAATTTCTTAATTGAATATAAAATTGGGAAATGAAACATTGCTTATTAAAAAAAACCAAACCTTACAAATAAATTCACTAAAGAAACCAGGATGACAAGGAATGGTACACTTTGAAAGCAGCTGTTAAGAAAATTATATCATAGGCATTTTACAAGAACGGCTTGCTAACAACATGTGCAGTCTGTACTTTTGCTGACTAGCAATTGTAGTAAGTCTTTACCATATAGCTTATCACTCTTGTGTTCTTAGTTTCAGAATTGCTACAAATTATGTGTTCCTCAATCTGACTACAGCAATTAAGCACTATTAGTAAGTATCTGTGTATCTACTTGGGCGTGCACTAACAATCCAGAGAACAGGGCTTTCCAGAAAATGCACACACCTGCCACTATGCTAACCTAAACTATTTCCATGTTCAAGAACACTACATTGTTCTGCATTGCTCACACCAGTTACACTCCCAAAATAGACATATTGCAAGGTATTTACTTGGTTAGGTGGTAAAACATATTTAACTCATAAAAATAATATCTCCAATATGTGCACAAATTAAGACAGTTTTCACCAATGGTCAGATCAAGAAAATGATTGGCATACAGGGGAGGAGTTTAATTCTGGTATCCAAACTGTAATTTGTCACTGTACAATAATCATCCTCAGCCAATTACATATTACTATATACTAAAACGGGACCCCATTAGGCCTTGTATAAAAAACTGTTATCGGGCCGGCTGAGTAGCTCAGTTGGTTAAGAGCTCACTCAAGAGTTTGAGCTCTGAGCGACAGCGGTTTGATTCCCGGCCCGAGCTGAGCTGCAGCTGAGCTGCCAACAGGTGGCAGGATGGCTCAGCTAAATAAAACAAACAAACAAACAAAAACAAAACAAAACAAAAACCTCTGTTATCCTAGTTTGAGTTAATAAGAGCTTGAAATAAGAAAAAAATATTTACAAATCAGTATTTCAATTCTGTACCCATAATTACATTGAATTAATGAGATTTTACTGTTTTTCAAAAAAAAAAAAGAAGAGCAATATATAGTGTATTTTATATTGAAAAAAAAATTTTCATGTGTGCATCTCATTGAGCACCATACTTTTTATACTAATTCAATCTACCAATAATCTGGGGTTAAGAGACTGTCAGATGAAACCGGATCTAATAACTCTGGGGATTTTAAATTAGCAGCTCAGTGACAATTCCTGGAACGAAGGGCCCAAAACAAAATCAGGCAGAATCACAGTTGCTCCATTCCGCACTGTTTTGACAGAATACTTTTTGTAATCTAGGTGCTGGGCACACGACCAAGTCACAAAAAGCAAACCATCAGTGTCGGCTAAACGGACCTGCAGAGAGCAGGCAAAGATGTGTTTCTATTTCTAGTGGTGGGACAGAGGCCTCTAGAACGTACTGTTCTTGCCCCTGCTCCTTGAGAGCTGTTTTGTTACCAAGTGCTCATCTTTCTTTTAGAGAGACTGCACAAAGGCTTGGGAGGATGGGCAGGGGGATTTCTCTGAACTAATTTGCTCCGGTGACACTTTCAAATAACAAACATCCTTAGAATGAGAAAGCCATCAGGGAGTTGTTGTTTTTTAACTTTCAATTTTGAAACAATTTTAGATTTACAGGAAAGTTGTAAAGATAGTATAGAGATTTCCAGTATTCCAGCCACCCAACTTCCCCTAATGTTCACATTTTACATATCATGGTACATTTATCAACCCTAAGAAATTAACATTGTTATAACACAATTAACTAGACTATAGGCTTTATTCAGACTTCATCAATTTTTCCACTAATGTCTTTTCTTTATTTGTTCAAGGATTCAATCCAGGACACCACATTACATTTAGTTGTCATGATTCCTTGCTCCCTATCTGATCTGTGATAGTTTCTCAGATTGTCCCTGATACTTTTGAAGGGTACTAGTCAGATATTTTGTAGGATGTTTCTCAATTTGGGAATTTCTGATGTTTTCTCGCCGGCTGAGTGGCTCAGTTGGTTAAGAGCTCGCTCAAAGGTTTGAACTCTGAGCAACAGCGGTTTGAGTCCGGCCCAAGCTGAGCTGCTGCTGAGCTGCCAACAGGTTGCAGGATGGCTCAGCTAAAAAAATTAAAAAAAAAAGGAGTCTGATGTTTTCTCATGATTAGACTGAGATTATAGATTTTGGGGAAGAATGAAAGAGAAGTGAAATGCCCTTCTCAATGCATAATATCTGGTGGTATATGATACCAACATGATTTATTATTGGTGATATTAACCCTGACCACTGATGGTGTCTGCCACGTTTCTCTACTGTAAAGTTACTGTTTTTCTCCCTTTCATGCTCTATTCGATAGTTACAAGTCACTATATCCAGCCCCACTCAAGCATCATGGAAGTAAGCTCCACTTCTTGGAAGAAGGAAGGGTATCAAAGAATTTGTGGACATTAATTAAAACTACCACAAAAATTAGTAAGTTTCTTGAGAGAGATATTTTGAGGCTCTACAAATATTGTGCTTCTCCTTACTTAAAGCTTTGCTCATTAATTTTGTATTTTTTAAAAAGTATTTATTTTTTTCTTACAACTTTTTAAAATTTTATATAAAAACTACTTACTTTCAAATTATTATTTATCACTTACATAACTTATTTTCTTAGCATCCATCTGTGAATCCTGCCTGCAGCAATGATTATTCTATTTTCTCTACTCCTTCTACATTTATTATCTGGACTTCTGTACAGAAGACATGTCCCTTCTCCCTCATTTATTTATTTGCTTGTCTGTATCAGTATGGACTCATGGGTATTTATTCTTTGGTTTTTAATAAAATACTATTGTCATTTATTTATTTTGTTGCTCAAATTGCTCCAGTAGTTTTTGCCACTGGGAACTCTCTCAGGTTGACTCTTGTGTCCTTTTAACTTGCTTCTACTGTTACTTATTTATTTTTAGCGTTTAATTTCTGGCGATACAAGACACCATGCCAGGCTCATCTTGTATTTTCTCTGCTCCAGCCCTCGAGTCAGCCCTGGGGGCCTCTACCAGGATTTTATAAAAACAAAGTTACTCTTCAACAGTCCAGGCTATGCTAAGAAAGTATAGCCATCACTTGTTTTAATCAGAATTTTAAATTATTATTGAGAGAAAGAGAGGGAGGGAGAAAGAGAAGGAATGAGTATGAGAGTAAGGAGAGAGAGAGAGAGAGCGAGAGAGAGAGAGAGAGGATGACAATGAAACTCTTAATATGAATATATGTTTGTACTTAGAGGTTTCCACCCCATCTTTTGTGAACTATTCTCTGGAGCTAAGCTAAATTGGCCATTTTTTCTTTTCTGAAATTACAATTCTACTTTTTGATAATTCAAGTTCACTCTCTATTGTAACAGAAGGTAGATTTTAATCACATACCTCACGTAAAGGAACTCATGCAAAAAAATCTTATTTTTATGTAAATAACTTCAATTTCTAGTACTTACAAAGGCAGAAAAATAAAACAACAAATGAATCAGAAATAAAGTGAAATTATAAAGGTTTTTCTTGTGGTATCAGAAAAATATAGCTTAAATCTGAATTATTAGATAAATA